TATGTGAATGTCTGTTTACTATTTTCCTAATGTTACTTTCTTTCTCCTTTTGGCTTGCTGTCTTGTTTCCCTTGTTTGTCATACAGAGAGAGATATGTGCAAATGCTTGACCAAATTGCCAGGCAGATGATTGAATTCTACAAAGACTTGGTAACTCAGCGAATGATGGATCAGCGCATTTTAGAAGAATTGTATAATTTCAAGAATGTTATTGAGGAATTGACCAGGTAAAAATTGTAATTATCCTGAACACAACACTCAGAGCCATGTCTTTAAAGAGAGTAAAACAAATTGATGAAAAGTAGAAGAGTGAATGGTAAAGACTCTTGTTTTCTCTTCATGTTTTGTCATCTCATCATGTTCTCTTCTGGTTCTCTACAAGAACTGGATATTATTGTATATAGATGCAGAGAAATAGGTTGTGCAGGTTATCACAAAACTAAAGCTGTGTACATTTGACAGGGAAAAGACTTGTTGTTTCTTCCAAGATACATATGTTTACCTTTATCAGGTTTACAGAGCAGTGCACTAACTGTGGATATTAAGATTCAAATTTCAAAGAGCATAAACATTAAATAGCAATCAAGGTTAGATTAGGGATCATCTAACTTTGTAGTATGATTCTTAGTAGCAAGAATGGGGGGCAGGATAAAGAGATCAGAAGTGAGCAGAACAATGTGGGAACCCTGTCTGCCAGCATCTGCCTGCACTCTACTCTAGACAATGCCCTTCCCTGGTGGTCTAGTGGTTAGGATTCATTTCTCTCTAGATGATGCCCCCACCACATCTTCCTTCTGCTTTTTCTTTTTCTTTTTTATTTATTTAGTACAGGGTCTACAGGGTCTCACAACACAGCTCAGACTCATAGTGATTCTTCTGTTTTCAGCCTCCCAAGCGCTGTGATTATGGGCACATGCCAGCATGCCCAGTCTCAATTGCAGGGCTGGAACAGCATGCTGGAGATCAAACTCTGGTCCCTGCATCTCCCTAAGCAGGCACTTTAATCTGCTGAGCTATCTGGCCAGCCCTCTTCTGCTTTTTCTTGCAAGCTTGATTTGTTCGCCCAACTTGGCAAGACTCCACCCCAAATTATACTAAGTTTCTTAATTTGGTTTATAAAGTGGAAAAACTAGGAATCAGAGAAGATCTCTATGTGTAACTCTGATTTCCTGGGTAGAAACTCCTTGCAAGTCTAATTATGAATCAGAAATTTCTTTGCTTTATTTCAGGGAACTGTGTTTGGTTCGGTCACATGATATGAAATTAACAAAGGAAGCAGAGAAAGCCCACAAGGATTTGGCCCAAGCTGTTTTAGATGCTGAAAAGAATGCCAGGTGAGTGGCTTAAAATTTATATAGCATATGTAGGAGAAAAGGGGAAAGCATATATCACTTCTGGAATAATATAGAGTCTGCTAAAAAAGCATATACATCAAGAAAAGAAAAATTTGTACAAATATTCTAATATTAAATTTATTAAGGGAACATGACATTAATAAAAATTATCTTTGGTCTCTACAATTACAAGATGCATTAGCTTTCAGACATTTATTAGTATAGCAAACTGCTGAAGTGCATATATATATTTTGATGAAATCTATATATATAATGCCAGCTTCTTAAATTCTAAAAGCACATATAGCTTCTTTATCAGAACGGAGTTGATTTCTCATTTTAGGTGGAAAGAAAATAAAACGCTTTTTTTCCTGGGAGCATATAGATTGTTGGTTTCGGCATTAATCATTTTGTTGAATGAAGTTTACAGGCTGTTATTTTCACGTTTCCTAGGAGAAGGTATGCAAAGGGATGTGCATAGTGTAACTCTAGAACCATACTGCTTACCATGCAGCTTTGGGGCAGTCACATAAATTTTCTGGGCTTCCATTTGCCCCTATATAAAATTGAGATTTTAATATCTGCTTTTTAGGGATGCGGATTAAAGGTATTAATATAAGTGACACATTTAGAATGGTGCCTGGCATCTGAGTTTTCAATGACAACAGAATCAGATGCTTTTATTCGAGTACCTTTCTATAAAATTTTATGCTATGAAATATTTCAAATATTCAGAAAAATAAACTTTATGACAAACAATCCAAAAACACTGTGACTTAGTGAATGCTAGCTATTACCATGGTGCCTCAGTTCACAAACAAGTTTTTCTTCATGATTCTGGTCACAAATCAAATAGTATGAGAACCGAATCAAATTTTTCCACAAGCCAACATGAAACCTAACCACTGAACTTGATTTGATTCTTTTCCAATTTGGTTTGTGACCAGAATTGTAATAAGAATTAAGTTTGTGGGCCAAGGTACCATTGTATTTTATACTTGCTTCATACCTTTTTTAAGGAAACAGTTTTATAGAAGCATCTGAAATTTAAAAATAATGCCTCTGTCCATTATCTTCCTTCTCTCTCCAGAGTTACTTTTCCAGTCCACATTATTATATTTTACTACATATTTATATATAAAAAATATAACATATTATTGTTTCATGTTTTCAAAATTTGATTTTTCAAAACTGCTTTTGTGGGGTGGGGGAGATAGCTAGTTGAATAAGCATTTGCCTGGCAAGGGCCTGAGTTTAATCCCTAGCTCTGCAAAACAAACAACAACAACAACAACAACAAAATACTGCTTTTGTGATTTGTCCATTTGATGTCTATAGAATAAATTATTACAAGCAAACATTAAATTATATGACTAAATAATTTATGCATCTATTTCTCTGTAGAAATGGATTTTTCAATTAATAATAATAAAATAACATTTTATTATTAACATAGATAACATCTATCAAGCACTTACTGTGTGTTAGTCAGTACCTGTACTAAGCTGTTAGCTATGCCTGTAATCCCAGCACTTGGGAGGCTGAAATACAGGAGAATCACTACATGTCTGATCTGTGTAGTGAGACCCTGTAGACCCTGTACTAAATACACTAAAAAATAAATAAATAAACCTAGAAGTAGAATTAGTGGATGTGCTTATCCTTATCCTTGCTAAATGTTACCAAAATGTTCCACAAAGTGGTTGTACCTATAGCTTTATTTTGCCTGCGTCTTGTACCAGTGTGCTGGGCAGGAAAAAGTATCTGGTTCTATGTTGGTTTTTTTCCCCAGGAAATAGGTGAGTCTAGTTCTGTTTTAGATTTAGTGTATATACTCCATTTTAATGTTTTTGTTCTATTTCAGGGGTTAGCAAACTTCCTAGAAAGGGCCAGATAGTGAGATAGGGTTTCTGATGCAACTGTCATCCTTTGTAACATGACATAGTTATAGTACCAAAGAACCGAGGATAATATATAAACACTACTATGTCTAATAAAGCCTTATTTATTGACATTGATTTTTTTTTTTTTTTTTTTTAAGGAAAGGGTATACAGGGTGTTCAGGGTCTTACTACTAGATTGGACTCATAGTGATCCGCCTGTTTACAGCCTCCCAAGAGCTGGGATTACAGGCCTGCGCCACCACACCCAATCTCAATTGCCATCTCAGCGCTCCCTGGGGCAGAGCCAGCACAGCAGGCCTAGGGATCAAATCTGCTGAGCTATTTGGCCGGCCTTGACATTGAATTTTGAATTTCATACAATTTTCATTTTTCATAAAAATGTTTTTTTAACCAGCAAAAAATATAAAAAAGAAAATTAAAATATAGCAAACATTTAAAATTCTTAGCTCATGGGCCATATAAATATATAAGTGGTAGGCAGGTTTAATCTATAGTCTCTAAATTTGTTAATCCTAGTCTCTTTTTCTGCTGAATTTTTATTTACTAGAGCCTATTGTATAAATATGAAAGGACTGGGTGTGACAGCCCACACCTGTAATCTTAGTTCTTGGGCGGCTCAGGCAGGAGGATCACCTTGAATTCCAGGCCAGAGAACCTAGGCTACAAAGAGAGTTTAAGGTCAGCCTGAACTGCATAGTGAAAAATACCCTAAGAAAATATATCTGATTGCATTTTATTTTATTTGTCTTTTTGAGACAAAGTCTCACTATACAGTTCAGGCTGGGCTTGAGCTCACTATGTAGCCCAGCCTGGTCAATGATCCTCCTGCCTCAGTCTCCCAAATTCTGGGATTATCGGTGTGTGCCACCACACCCCACTTTAATTTTTTTTGATTAAAAATAACATGACAAAGTAGCATATGTGGCTTGTAAAACTTTTAAGTACACAAATAAAAAGGAAAAACCAATTTTATAATCCATAGATTAACATTATACATACCTTTGCTCAGATTATGTAATTTTTCTGCTCAAAATTGTTTATTATTTCTTCCTCTGAATAAATAGCAGTGTTTTTAAAATGACTTACAACAGCCAAGGTATCTAAATTTCTCTGACTCTTTGTGCTTTATCCTGGACACCCTGGCCTTTATTGAGCACACAAAAATCTGTCTTGGGAAACTGTTGCATCTTCCCTCCCTCCTTAAGTCTTTTGCTCAGATGTCATCTTTTCTGTAAGATCTTTATAGATCCCTATTTAAAACTGCAATGCATTTTGTATTGCCAATCTTTTTTCTCTGACCTTTGTTGTTGCTGTTTGTTTATTTTGATGGGTGGGGCTAGAAGACAGGGTCTCACTTTAGAATTCAGGCTGGTCTTGAACTCACTGTGTATCCCAGGTTGGCCTCAAACTTGAGGTGATCCTCCTTCCCCAGCTTCCCAAAGTGCTGGGATTGCAGGTGTGTTCCACCACTCCTGGCTGTCTGCTTTATTTTTATCCATAGCACTATCATTACTTAATATATTCTTTCCTTTTGTTTGTGTGTTGTTGATACATGGAGGAAAAACTGGTCTCGGGTGGGTGACCTCCAAACAATATAGGGAACCTCCAAATGACATAGGAGAAAACAATCTCTGGACCTGACCTGCATGAGTTCGTGTTCTCTAAAACCGAAGAATTAATTTTAGGAACAAACGGAGGTTATGAGAAGAATATATTTATTGAGAGAAAGAAAGCTCCTGTCCAAGAGAGGGACAGGAAGAGGGCCTGAGCGGGTAGTTCCCCTGGGAAGTTGTCTCTTCCAGGGACTTTTATAGAGGAAAACCATGTGGTGAGGCGGGTCTAAGGTAGTGATGAAGACATGGGAACTTGCTTAGTTGGGCATGAGGTGGGACAAAACTATGGTCAACCAGTGAGACTGCAAGCACCATTGCTCAGGTAAAATTGATTAAATCCAGTATCAAATGGGAAAGCGAGTCATGTAGCAAGTGGGCATGAATACAGAGTCTCTTCCTGTTGGGGGTTGGGCTGGTGACTCATTTGCTCTCTTTCAAGTTGATTGATACTATTTAGAATATTAATCCCTAATGCCCATCCCTAGAGAAGTATGTAGCTGTGCTTACTCTTTTTGTTTTGGTCTTTTTTTTTTTTTCATGTTCTATTATCTTTAATTAAACAGAGATCTCTGTAACATGTCATTAGAGACCATTTCACCCACTGCTCTGTTTGGCTGCCAGCCTCTTATCTCTCTCTTCAGCAATGGTGAGATGGATTCCTTTTCCTCGTGGAAGAGAAATCCACGGCTTTCTGCCTTTACCGATGACAAAGATGTTGGAGAGCCGGGTGGCAAAGCTGTTGCCATTGGCATCTTTCACATGAACCACATCAAAAGGGCCAGGATGCTTCTCTCTGTTGGTGATCACTCCAATTCTTCCTAAGTTAGCACCTCCGGTCACCATGCACAGGTTACCAGTGTCGAACTTGATGAAATCGGTGATCTTGCCAGATGACAAATCAATCTGGATGGTATCATTGACCTTGATGAGAGGGTCAGGGTAGCGAATGGTGCGAGCATCGTGGGTGACCAGATGAGGGATCCCTTTTGTGCCCACAAAGATCTTCCTCACTTTGCACAACTTGTACTTGGCTTCCTCAGGTGTAATACGATGAACAGCAAAGCGACCCTTGGTGTCGTAGATCAGACGGAAATGCTCTCCTGTTTTGTCAATGCTGATGACATCCATAAAGCCAGCAGGATAGGTTATATCAGTTCGGACTTTGCCATCGATCTTAATGAAGTGTTGCATGCAAATCTTCTTTACTTCTTCTCCTGTCAGAGCATACTTGAGTCTGTTCCATAGGAAGATGATGAGAGGCAGACATTCTCTCAGCTTATGAGGACCGGTGGATGGACGAGGGGCAAACACACCGGTCAATTTATCCAGCATCCAATGTTTTGGAGCTGCTACTCGCTTCAGATGCTTCTTGGGACCACGAGCCATGGCTGAGATCTCAAATATCCTGTCAATGCCGCGTACTTCTCTTACGAAATATATCCTACATTTT